CTAACCCTCAAAGATGAAGGTTTCACAGCATTTCCTTTGCTGGCCCAAGCCCAGAATTCAAGTTAAATGGCTTTGCCAAAGTTGTGAACTAAATGAAGGAAAACTCTTCTCCGTGGGCTAATGCAATCTGCAGTCAGCGGGAGGAGTGACTGCATGAGCAGGAGTGGGGAGCCCTTTGTGTTTTCTGCAGGCACTGCTGTAGCTGGTGTGCCTGGAACAGGACTTCCCAGGAGGCCCTCCTTCCCCAGGGCAGCCACATGTCTCCTCACCCGAAAAGGTGAGGCGTGCCAGCAGTCTGTCAGTTCTCTCCACCTCACCTGTGAAGCTGGCTCGCCTCTGCATCACAAGCAGCTCTCCCCATAGAGCAAATGTGCAAGGTGCTTGTTCCCTCACTGAATCTGCGTTCCATTAAGGCCTTCTTGGTTTCCCGGTCAGGTCTGCAGTCATCCTAACTTCGTTTATGTTTTATTCCACACAGTCTCTTTTCTACTTTCAAATCACAAACAGCTGGCACCGCAGTTGCAGCAGATGACCTTATGGGCAGACCTAAGCTCCTTGCCTCTCTTCTACTTCACTTGCAAATGGGCCCCCTGAGGAGCCTCTCCTCCCAGGGCATCTTCTCTTTCGTGCTTCCTCCCAGGGGAACCTGCTCCTTGACTACTTCCTCCTCTGAGTCTGAGAAAATGTCCATCCAGAGATCCTTTCTCAGCCATGCATGTGTTAATGTGTTCTCTCATTTGTTGGTAAACATGAGTCCCTGTTAAAGGAGGGCCTGGCCTGGGAAAGTGACGAGGTAGCGGCCTCTCAGGACTGTCCCCAAGGCCCCTACTGCCCACTCTGGTCCTGGCATGACCTGTTGCTTCTCTGCCACTACAAATGTAAAGCCCAGTGCTTGAGTCCTGCAGTTCTGGCTGGATAGAGAAACTGGGGAGAGCCAGTTAGCCCAGAATAGTAAGTCATTGACCCACAGCCCACCTGGAGGAGACAGCAGTGGGGGTTTTCTGGGACAGGACCCTGGGAGTGCAATCACAGGTGTTGCTGTCAACCAGGCTCTTGCCTTATTAGCTGGGTAAGCTTAGTCAAGTCTAACCTCTTTCAGGCATGGTTTTCCACAGGCAGAATGGAAAACAGTAATGGTCCCTAAAACTAGTAGTACTGTAAGGAATTGAAAGAGGTGGTTGTAAACTTGCCTAACATTGTATAAATAATAAGCGAATTTCCCCTAGTTTTGGCTTTCCTTCCTTCCCTCCTTCCCTCTTCCATCCTCCTTCTTTCCCTCCTTCCTTCCTTCTTCCCTTTCTTCAATCCTTTGTTCATCAGTCTTTATCCTTCCTTCTTTCTTTTCCCTTTCTTCTTCCCTCTCGCTCTTCCTCCCTTCCTCCCCCTCTTCTTACTTTCTCTTCCTTCCTCTCTTCCTCAATTCTTTTTCTCCTGCCCTCACTCCATTCCTCCCTTTTCTCTCTTTTACTCTTCCTTCATTCTTTCTTTCCTTCCTTCCTATGTTTTCCCCTTTCCTTCATCCTTCTTCTTTCCCTCTCCTCCCCTCCATTCCCTCTACCTCCCTCCATCCCTCATTCCCTTATTCTTTCTTTACTTCCTCCCATTCTTGCTTCCTCTCTTCCCTCTTTCCTTCTTTCCTCTCTCCCTTCTTCCCTCCCTTCCTCTTCTACTATCCCTCCCTCCGAATCACTTTCCTTTCGTTTCTCCTCTCGCTCTCTCCCTCCTCCTTTCCTTCCCTCATTCTATTGCTGCTTCCTTCCCTCCTTTTCTCCTTCTCTCCTCACTTGGTCCTATTAGCTCTAAGCATAGAAGGATGACTAAAGCGTAGCCACTGCCCTTTAATAAGCTGCCATTTCAGAGGTGGGTACAAATTATCTGGAGCTATGAAAAAGTTGACTGTTATGAGGGTTGTACAAGAGACATAAACCATGCTCTGGGGAGAAAACAAAGGTAAGATTAATTCTACCAAAAGGGACAGGGAAGGTGACTGGCCTAGAATCCTGCCTGGAATCCACTTGCTCTGCATTGCTCAGGATTGGCCCTGCAGCCAAGCTCAGACTCTTAGACTGGCGTCTAAATAAGACTACCTCAGCAGATGAACTTAACTCTTGCACACAGGAGGTAAATGGAAGCAACAAACTCAGTTAAAACAGGGCATGGAGGCAGAAATGTGCTGGATTCCTAGAGTGCTTTGGGCTTCATCTTCATTCAGAGAACCTCTCCTTTTCCTTTTAAAGGTGAGAAAACAAAGAGCCTGTAACAATGAGTGACTTGATCAAGGTTGCAAAACTGGCCCCTGGGGGAACTTAGATGACACCGTGTCACCTCACTCCCTGACCAGAGATCTTTCTGCGGCTGCTTTGCACTCTGCAGCCTGGAAAAAAGGAAAGGAAAGAGGAAGGCAAAGGCAAAAGGTAAGGGAAAAGAGAGGGGGAAGGGAAACAAGAGAAAGAGGAGGTAAAGAAAAGGGAAAGGAAAGGCAGAGGAGGAGAGGGAAGAGGAGCAGGGAGAGGAGGGAAGGGAACAGGAAAGGAGAAGGGAAGGGAAGGGAAAAGAGGGAAAGGAAAAGAAGGGAAAGGAAAGCAATGGAAAGGAAAATAAGTGGAAAGGAAGAAAGGAAAGAGGAGGAAGGGAATAAAGAAAAGTAGAAGATGTGTGGGTGTGTGTGTGTGAAAAAAAGAGGAAAGAAAGGAGGGAGAGAAAGAGGAAAAGGAAAGGAGAGAGAGATGGAGGACGGAGGGAGAAAGGGAAGGAGGAGGGCAAAGGGCAGGAAGAAAGAAAGAAGAAAGGAAGGAAAGAAGAAAAGTGAATCACAATTCACTGCACTGGCAATAAAAACACTGTATATTCCTTCAATGCCTGCAAAGTCCCCTAGATTTTCTCAAATCACTCAGCTCATCAAGCTGCATGGGTATTTTTCTTCTTCACAAAGGACAGCAATTCCTGGGAAACTGCTTACCTCCCTCATTCTATGGGTCCTATAACACTATCTCTGAGAATATCTGATGGAACAAAGCCATTTGGACATGTGGTCACTTAACTCATCCTCAGTTTTGTCTGGCCTCTTCTTACAAGTTTGGCTATCTCATATTCATGACTCTCTACTGGAACCAGCTGGCGGGGACAAGAAGTTTCTGATTCAAAGAGACCCATCATTGAGGTGGGATCGATAAAGAGACGTCATTATTCCCTCAGTTGAGCCCCCAATCGTTTTTTCAGTTAGAATTTTGGACACATACTATTACTGTTTTGTTCTTATTAGTCACATGCTTGGGGCTACCCCATTGTAACCACATGAGAGTGCTGTTGGCACAACAAAACAGAATATTTAACGAGAAGAACAGAATTAGCTAACAAGTCAAATCACAAAAACTGTAGCCTAATCCATGCTATAAAAGCACTTGCTTTCATAATACTAAGGACTCATTTTGCACGTTATATGTGGTCACACCTTGAGCCATGTTTTCATTTTGGTGGTGCTGAGAAAGGTGTGATATTTGGATTAGAAGCACCGTAAAGACACAGAAGTCATGATTGATTAGAGCATGTAATGAGAGGCAGGTGGGGAGGCAGGCTGCTGCAGCCACAGCCAAGTGTGGTCTGAGGGTAACAAGAAACGAAGGGGCTGGGCATGATCGCTCACACCTGTAATCCCAACACTTTGAGAGGCTGGGATTTGAGGCCAGGAGTTCAAAACCAGCTTGGGCAACAAAGGATGACCCCCCCCCCACCATCTCCACAAAAAATAAAAAAATGTATTAGCCTTATATGGTGGCCTGTACACCCGGCTCCTCTGGAGACTGAAGCGGATGTATCGCTTTCAAGGAGGCCTTCCTAGCACCTCAGATAAGCTTTGTTTGTCCGTCGTTTTTTGTTTTTTAATCGTACTTTAGGTTCTGGGATACATGTGCAGATTATGCAGGACTGTTGCATAGGTACACATGGCAAGGTGGTTTGCTGCCTCCATCCCCCCATCACCTATACCTGGCATTTCTCCTCACCCCTCCTCCTCCGGCTGTCCCTCCCCTAGCCCCCCCAACAGACCCCAGGATGTGATGCTCTCCTCCCTATGTCCACACTTTCTCTTTGTTCAATACCGGCCTATGAGTGAGAACATCAGGAGTCTGATTTTCTGTTCTGTGTCACTTTGCTGAGAATGATGGTTTCCGGAGTCATCTATGCCCCTACAAAGGACAGGAATTCATGGTGTTTTATAAAAGTTAGAGGAACTACTTTGTCCCAAGCCAGCCTCCCCAGTTCCCAACAGGCAGAGCGCCTGAAATTGCAGGGAAGGTTATGTGTTTACCATCTGAGCATTTCCAGGATTCTAAAATGTAATGAGTGGGAACCACTGCCCTGGGGATGGCCATTTCCATGAAAATTCTATTTCAGGGATTAATTTGAATAGGTACTATTAACTTTCTCTCCTTTACACAAGATCAAAGAGTAAAAATAACCAGGCCTCTGCTTAAGAGTTGAGGAGTCTAGCAAAGTTGGGAAACGTTTTGATTTGTAGTAGAGAGCAGGCAAGAAGAGAAAGATGGGAGTGGAGAGAGACTGGCAGACATTCAGAAAGTTCGCGCTGGAGATTTCTACGTTTCTTACTCGCAGACGTCCATGGCTCTGGGTTTCTGAATGCAAGGACGAAACATTCTCAATAGTCTGCTAAACTGACATGGCCTTCGAATCAGTAGCTGAACCAAGCTGTCCACAGAGAGGAAAGCCAGAGGGGGCCAATTAGGAAGGGAGAAATTAAAGAAAAGAAAAAAAGCCAAGATGAAAGGTCCAGCGCAAAGTGAGTGACACGCCGGGAGAATGGCAGCCGGGCAGGGTCTGCGGCTGGGGACACGGCCGCGCGGGCGACTGACAGGTGGGTCGGGCGCAGCGAAGGGAGAGGGTGTAGCGGAAGGGCCTCTCCGGGGCAGCGCGGGCCGTGGCGGCGCCTCCCGAGCGGGGGCAGCAGAGGAGGGAGCCGAGCGCGAGCCGGGCGGGAGGTGGCTGCGGCAGGGGGAGGCGGGAGGCGGGAGGCGGGAGGCGGGCGCGCTGACTCCCATGCCGCCCTCGGTGCCACTCGCGCGCCGGCCGCGCTCCGGGCTTCTCCTTTCCCTCCAACGCGCAGCTGCTGCCCAGACATTCCGACCGCCGGGTCTGGAGAAATCCCTGAGCCCGCCCGCAGAGAGAAGCAAGGCGGGACCAGGGTGGCCCCCGGGGCGCCCTGGGTGGCGAAGAAGCGGGGAAGAGGCCGGAGGATGAGCGGCTGAGGGCGACGCGGGCACTGACGCGAGTTGGGGCCGCGACCACGGGCAGCTGGCAGAGCGATGAGCGAGTCCTCGGAGACTCCCTAGCCCGGTGCGCGCGCCGGGCGGAGCGCGCAGGTGGGGCTGGGCTCTCCGCTGTCCGCCCCGCGCGGGTCCCAGCCGGCCCAGGATGGGCGCTGGCAACCCGGGTCCGCGCCCGCCGCTGCTACCTCTGCGCCCGCCGCGAGCCCGGCATCCGGCTCGCGCCCTGCGCTCATGTATGTAGGTTGGGCTCCGGTCTTCAGGGCTGGGGGTGCATGCTGGGGGGTCTCTGCGCGGCCGGACGCGCCCCTGCTCTGTTCAGTAGCTCAGCTGCTCCGGAGGAACCCCCTCCCCCGCCCAAGTTTGTGAACAGGGGCGCTTCGCGCACAGTTGAGGTCGACGGGGACCCGGCAGGGGGTGAGCAGGGCCGGGCACGTCCGTAGCCCTCTGGGAGGAGGGCTGATGGGGAGGGGACAGACGCACCGGAGTGCGCAAAGTGGGAGCGTTAGGGGAGTGAGGCAGAGAGGCTGGATTGCCGACCTCCTGCGGCGTCTGGAGCTCTCCCGGCCCCTTTGGGCGGCAGAAACTTTGGAATCCAGAAAGGCTGGCGGGGAGGGTCTCGCCCCCAACTCTGCGCCCCGAAGCCCCAGCTTCCCGCACTGCACACCTTGGTGCTGCCCGGGAGCTTCTGCTCCGCAGCCAGGACGTTACAAGTCTGAGCACCGCCGCCGGCGACCTGGCTCCCGAGGCTCGGAGGGGCGGGCCGGCGGAGGAGCTGAAGCTTCGGGAATCCCGATCCCGCGGTCTGGGAAGGGGCCGAGGGCATCCTTTCCTGCAGCGGGGCTTAGAAAGCGGGGAAGGGGCGTCTGCTCCCGGGACGGAAGGCTTTTAAGAAGTTGTTAGAAATGAATCGTGGAGTCCTAGAAGAATCTTTGTTTGACCTCCCCCATTTTTCCCAGCACAAACCCCTAGAGCAAATGAGAAAGAGTTTCCCTCTTATCTTCCTGTACATTCGTCTATCTCTAACTCCACTGCGGAATTCTCCATTTAATAACCTTCGGGAAACGTGGCCAGGACCTAGGGAGGGACACCCTGGGTGCCTGAAGTACGTGGTTCCCAGCAGGGCTTTGCGGGGGGGGGGGGCGGCTAGCTGCGTTCCCTGAGCCCCGCAAGCCCCCCTTGGCCATCTCCAACACTAATCACGGCTACATCAGAAACACGCCGACCGGTGTCGTTCTTGGATTTTGCTTGCAATGTATCGTTCTACAATTTGTGATGTCTAAGAACCCCGGCCGTGCACCGACGCTGGGCATGCTGCCCCCGCCCCCGTCGCCCAGCTCGTTAATCTAGAGCGATGCCGGATCCCGGGTGGGGGCCGCTGCGGGCCGGGGCGCGCGCGGGCCGCGGGGCTCAGTTGTGCTGCTGTTCTCTCCGCAGGGACGGCGGCTCCGGGCTGGCGGCGGCGCGCCCCCGGGCTGTGAATGCGACTCGCCCCTCGGCCGCGCTCCCCGCCCGCCCGCCCGCCGGGACGTGGTAGGGGATGCCCAGCTCCACTGCGATGGCAGTTGGCGCGCTCTCCAGTTCCCTCCTGGTCACCTGCTGCCTGATGGTGGCTCTGTGCAGTCCGAGCATCCCGCTGGAGAAGCTGGCCCAGGCACCAGAGCAGCCGGGCCAGGAGAAGCGCGAGCACGCCTCTCGGGACGGCCCGGGGAGGGTGAACGAGCTCGGGCGCCCGGCGAGGGACGAGGGCGGCAGCGGCCGGGACTGGAAGAGTAAGAGCGGCCGTGGGCTCGCCGGCCGGGAGCCGTGGAGCAAGCTGAAGCAGGCCTGGGTCTCCCAGGGCGGGGGCGCCAAGGCCGGGGACCTGCAGGCTCGGCCCCGTGGGGACACCCCTCAGGGGGAAGCCCTGGCCGCAGCCGCCCAGGACGCAATCGGCCCGGAACTCGCGCCCACGCCCGAGCCACCCGAGGAGTACGTGTACCCGGACTACCGCGGCAAGGGCTGCGTGGACGAGAGCGGCTTCGTGTACGCGATCGGGGAGAAGTTCGCGCCGGGCCCCTCGGCCTGCCCGTGCCTGTGCACCGAGGAGGGGCCGCTGTGCGCTCAGCCCGAGTGCCCGAGGCTGCACCCGCGCTGCATCCACGTCGACACGAGCCAGTGCTGCCCGCAGTGCAAGGAGAGGAAGAACTACTGCGAGTTCCGGGGCAAGACTTATCAGACTTTGGAGGAGTTCGTGGTAAGAGGCGAACGCCCGCTGGGCGACTTTGCACATTCCAGGAAGGGGTGTAACAGCTTTGGTTCTGTGGTCCCCCACTTGGAAGAAGAGGTGCTCTCTGGTCCTCAGAGGTGGAGAGCGCTGTGTTCACACCCTTTTGACATGACCTCTCTTTTTCAGGATAGAGGTAATCCTTCCACGAGCATTGTGGCCAATCCTTAGGGATTCCTTCGGTGTTCACTTTAAAAGGGCTTCCTTCATGAGGATGAAACCCATGGCACTGAAGGGAAGGGTCCCAGCAGGTATCAGAGGGACTTTCAACATTAATGTACTGCTCCTAATTTGGGAATGTTGTCGGTGAAATGCTCAACCTGTTTTCAAACACAGGGTAATTTACGATGCCATTTGGGATATATTCTTCAGCTGATAGCTAATTAAGGGAGACTTCATATAAGTAAGCCATTTCCCTAGATTATGTGTTTACGGTATCATGCAAATGTTCTAAAAATTAAAGAAAAAGAAAATATTTGTTTATTGGGTGTCAAATCATAGCGGATGGTGAAACCAACAAGTTCAGTTATTGGTTAAAAATTGTTTTGCTTTAGATGAGTAGCAGTGTTAATGGCACCAGCCATCTCTCCAGTGTCTACTGTGTGTCAGGATCCTGCTGCTTTTCATGTACATCAGTTAAATCTTATGCCATGCCAAGGAGTGGATTATTATCCATTGTCTCCATTTTATGGAGAAGATGAAACAGACATAGAATATTTAAATAATGTGCTGAAGGCAGAGCAGCTGTTAAGAAGCAGATTCATATGTCAAACTAAGAAGTTCTACTCCATAGTTCAGGATTTTAACCCTTGTACTCCACTAAAACTTTGGTTTGGGTGGAGGTGCTGCCCAGCATGCACGCACAAGCTCCAGGTAAAATCCCTGCCCATGGGCTAGGGGCCTGAGAGAGACCTGCACAGATGTTCAGTTATTCCAAACACCTGAAGGTAGGCTCAACCTATGGCCTGCCTGGACTTGGCCGATTGACTTGCCAGGCCACAGCTGTCCTTTTCCCACCTGTAGAGGGCGCCTTGGAACGCGTAGCCCCTAGAGCAAAGCTTGGGAAACAGGTAGGGAGCAACTCTGCTGGAATACCTCTCCTGGAATTAGCCTGGGAGATCTGCTAAATCCCAGGATGTGAAGGCCATGTAGTTAATGACTTGTGGCAATGAATTATCAAGTGTTATAGAAATACAAAGCCAGGAAGAACAGACCTATATATAGTGTACAAAGTATGGAAAGGGTCAGGACACATAGTTTTCTATTCTGGCTTTACCACTAATCAGCTGCAGGACTGGAACAAAAAACATGCCCCTTTTTCTTTCTTTTCTCTTATCTGTAAGATAAGGGGCCAGCTTTCTCTAGGCTCCCATAGCAGAATATAGCTCCAGGCATACATTGCCTAAGTACTCACATTTGACTTCCTCCCTTGGGAGACAAACAATTGAGAACTTCAAAATATGAATTGTGGAAACTCATTTGAACCAGGCCCAGGCCATACAAAATTAACTAAATCAGAATGCTTCCTCAAAATGCTGCCTGCCTACCGTGGGAGGGTGGGAGTGGTGGGTCTGGCAGATATCTTGCCAGATGTTTTGCATGCAATACAAAAGTGCACAGGCAGATGTGTCCAGATAAAGGAACCTGTGGGTGCCACAAGAGCCCAGAGGAGGGACCTTCCATTTTGGCCTGGAGCAGGGTTATCGACCTGGGCCCATTGGAACAATTCGCTTAAGTTTTGAATTGGCAACACCATCGGCTCTTCTAAAGTCAAAGATAAGCAGTTGTTTTTTTTTGTTTTTTTTTTTTATTGCATTTGAGGCCAACAAACATACGAAAAAATGCAGTTGGTTTTTAATTAATTGCTTTCGTTGTTTGCATTGTTTATAGTTCCATAGTAATTTGTTAGAATTGTCCTAAGAGATAAACTGAGGAATTAGTAGCGCTTTGATCTAGAAAGCCCAAATAGTTTACATTGTCCATTTATCTATGTGAGATCACAGGTAGAGGGAAGAATTCAAACTTCTTTCTTAATAACTCATGCTAAGTGCTAGCAGCCATGAAGCTGCTTTTGTCTATGTAGAAGGATCTCTTATTTAATTCCTTGTGGCTACCTGTTTGGTAGTCGATAGGTCAAATGTGTTTTCAAACTCTGTGCATGGGAGATGATACTAACAAAAGGGAAATTGGAAAGATTACAATCTTAGGAAGAATTAAAATACCAGTAAAGCTATTTTTGGAGTATTAAGTGCATCCTCCATCTTCAAATGACATTTCATTCTAAACTTTCATCACTAATTACCAGATGCTGAGATGGACACATACTTGAATGTTGCAAAGTTGTTACACATTTTTAATTATATGCCTGTTCCTACAGTATGTCAACTACATAAAGATTTTATAGTGTTCTATCATGTTTGCCCATTTCAGTTAGTATCAGCAACATTTCTAGGCATTCCCCTCATCTATTGTGGCCTTCTGCAAGCCATTTATTGTCTCCATTTTTGTTTCCATCAATGTACAAAAAAGAAAGGAATGCTTTTTTGGAGAGTGTTGAAAAGATTAATGTAGAATGGTTTAGGGTTAGTTGTGAGTCCACAGGGTTCGTCGGTTGCAGTAATGGAGATGTGTCATGATGCTGAGGGCACAGAAATTGTTAACATGCCTGCTCTGGGTATTCTGGGTTTCACAGAGAGATAAATTGTAGTCTGCAGTTTGCATAGCACAAAGTACATAGCAGATGAAAAAGGAAAGCATTTCTGTCTGAAGTGCTTTGCACTTCTCTGAAGAAAATGTAATTCAAATGGAGATTGTGGTACAGTCGGGTCATGCCTGGAACACTGTTTACTTTAGCAAGGAAGGAAGTGAAAGTGACATTACTTGGGCCTCAGTCCCTGTAAGATGCATAGGTCCTTTAACAGTCTATTCTCTGTTTCCAGAGAGAAAGAGACAGACGGCAGGGGCGGGGTGGGGGCAGCGGGTAAAAGAAAGAGAAAGTTACTAGTTGTTGATGGAGGCTGGACCCTCTTTGAGCAGTAGGTTAACCCCAGAGCCTGTGCAAGGCATTTGGCTCCATCAGGAGTGCTGTTTTCTCCCTGTCTTCATAGGCTTCTCTTTCGTTGGGCATGTTTTCTTGCTGCCTTCTCTACTCAGTTTTCTGTATATTCCAAACCTGTTTTGTCCCTTCTCTCTGTACTCTTTTACCTCATTAAAACTTCCACTCCTTACAGCCTCTTTGATCTCAGCTAGACACTGGTGAAAGATCTCACTGATTCCACAAAATACCATTAAGCTGCTAATAATAATGAGAGTAATGTGTTCATTCCTTCGGGGATGGTTGTAATTTAATTTGTACATCCAAATAAAAACATAGTTAATAGTAGAATGTTCTCCACTGCCTCTCAAATTATACCAACTGTCTTTTTTTCTTTAACTTATACCAGCAGGGATCCAACTTTGAATAAAGAAGCTTGTCTATTGGGTTATTTGTATATTTATATATTTATTTTAGTAAATGAATGATATTTTCAACTGTTTTCTGCTTCCTACAGTATATTAGTCTGCTAGGGCTGCCAGGCAAAGTACCAGAGACCCGGTAGTTTAAACAGTAATTTATTGTCTTGGAATCAATCTGCAAGTCCAAATTTCCAGACTTCCAGATTTCCAAGTGATCTGGAAGTCCAAGATCAAGGTGTCAGCAGGGCTTATTTCATCTGAGGCTTCTCTCCTTGCCTTGCAGATATCCATCTTCTCCTGGTTTTCTCATGGTGTTCCCTCTGCATCTGACTGTGTCCACCTTTCCTCTTCTCATATTGGATTGGGGCCTGCTCTAATGACCTCATTTTAACTTTGTTACCTCTTTAAAGATCCCGTCTCCAGTCCTATTCTGAGCTACTGGGGTAAGAACTTCAAAATTTGAATTGTAGAAGCACACAGTTTAGCCCAGAACATACTGTCCATGGCCAGAATTGATTTCATAAAACAGGCCTAACAAGGTAGTAACAGTGGGGTGTGTGAGGATGCATCAGCATGCATCATGGGAAAGCAGTGCTTATAAAGAAGGCACAGAGGGAGTATACCAATGAACATTAACTGAGGGGCTCATATTGACCATTCTGATTCTGCATCCATTCCATTCTGAGCGTCACTTTAGGAGTTCTTTTATTTATCGGAATGGATCCTTGTATCACAGAAAACTAGAAGGTGGCTAAGGGTAGGGAGAGGGGCTACACTGAGCAGATGTAAATTTTACCTCAGTGACCACGTGATTTGTTCAGAAGCAAATCACATTTGAAATGTGTTAATTTAAAAAATCATTCTATTTTGATCAGCAAGTTGTTTTCATCATGGGAATCTTGGTTCCCCTGGAGGATTGTGATGGTGGAAAGGGGAGTCTTCAAGCTTATTTCATGTTTTATAGAACCTAATAGGATTTTTGTGACTCTGAAATAGGGCTATACAGGATAACTAAAACTCCGCATTTCTTTGCTTTTGGTAGGATTGATATCAGCCCAGTGTGTCAACACTGGTTATCATAGTCCAATCAGGAACTCTGATTGGCAATTGTATAAGTCTTTGAAGAAAAAGGGAAGATGAATTATTAATAAATAAAGCTTACTAGACTGTCTTTCAAAGCGTGAGAACTGTTGAGAGAGAGAGAACAGGAAAGGGTACTTGGAGGTAACACGATTTGGGACCACTGAGTTAAACCAAATTCTCTCTGACTGCTTCCACATCTGACTTGCCATTAACTCCACTGCAAAATCATATTTCTAGGTTATTATCAATTAAAAAAATTCTAACATGAAATTTGGAATCAAAACCTCCATCTAAATAGATCTCTATTGCAATTGTGAGAAAGTGCCAGTAAAGAGAAACCCATGATTATTTGTACTTTTCAGTCTAATGGTATTTATATTATTTTGGCTGATGCTACTTAACTGAAAACAATGCTTTTATTATCCACCTTC